GAAAAAATCTTTTATTATTATAAAAAAAAAGTTTATTATTTAATTCTTTATTTTATAAAATTTTTATGTAATTTACAGATTTTTCTCTAATTATTATATAAATTCATATTATATCTTTTATTTAAAAGAGTTTTAATTAATTTTTAATCATTTTTTTATAAAGTTTTTATATAATTATTGTCAGGTCACGTGATATGGCTTACTAATTCTTTCATTATATAACTTTTCACAAGCTAGCAATCTTTCAATTATACAAGCTTTACACCTTTCACTGATTATGAGACTTATTTTGTGCAAAAATGCTGCCAATTCAGAATTTCTTGTTAATATAATTATTATTTTAACTACTGCTTCATTTGATACACTTATCAGAAGTTAAAATTGTCTTATTCTATCAGTATTAATGCATTTGAGATCTTGATGATCAATAATATTACTGCTCACTTAAAAAAAGACTTGTAGAAAACGCATTACATTTGCAAATAAGCAAGAAAAAGAGAACAATATTGACAAGAATCTGATAAATGAATATCAAGATGGCGGATTCAATACGATCTCGCTCACATACATGTTCGCGATCTCGTGTTCTTTTCACTAATGAATATTCTCCTGAAGCTTTTGAAAGCTTCATTGATGAATGCTCTGAAACACTCTCTTAATTCGAAGCTGATTTGAATACAGCTTCTGACACGGTCAGGCCGGCCTCCCGATCTACTCAACAGCTTGATGCTGATTCTCTTGATGAGAATAATGAACACTCAGATATTTATCATTCGGGCGAGACAATATCAAATTAACAGATCAAACATCTTAAGATAATATTTAAGATGAAGAAGAAGAGATGTAGAGTTCTAGAACTTAAACTATAACTGAAAGAACTTTGTTAACAGAGATTCTCATCCTCTACAGATTAATTACAGAATGTTAATAATTATTCTATTATTATTCTAACAGTCTGTACAGTCACATGAGATTCCAATCTCAGTAAAAGATTGAAATTCAATCTTTATAAACTGAATAGTCATGTTGATAAGATAATCTCTCAATTCAAGAAAGGTATCAAGAATACTGTGAGATTAAACAGTCTAACTGATACATTCAATTATATTATATAAAGCATCTTCATGAAATTGAAACTGGTTAATACACAGTGTTAATATATAAAAGAGAAATGACAGACTCAGTACTCTCTATAAAGAGATGATAAATAAGCACTATTCTGAGATGTCAGAAATCAGTGACTCTACATATTCATCTCAAACTCATTGAGTGCAGATATCAGATTATATTTCTTCAAATATAATAAAAATCAGATTGCTTATATTCTATGAAATGT